TATATATATATATACACAGAGAGAGAGAGAGAGAGAGAGAGAGAGAGAGAGAGAGAGAGAGAGAGAGAGAGAGAGAGAGAGAGAGAGAGAGAGAGAGGCAGTCACGAATAGGAGGGCAGAGAAACTGACCTCAAACACCAAATTGGGAGGGGAAGTGGATGGCATTATCAAAACCTCAGGGTCCAAATGGGGGTGTGGAATCGGAGTATTTGTCGACTGTGAACGTGAAAGTAGATGATAAAGAAAAAAAAAAAAATTTGGCAAAAAAGAATGTGAAAACGGAATGCGAGTGACTGTTTGGTTGAGGGCGGGCACATGTCGATGGCATGTTTGTATCAGACTTGATGAAAGTGCATGTAATTTGATGTAACCGCCTTTTTTCTTTTTTCTTTTTTCTTTTTTTTGGGTTGTTGATTAGTGACTTGTTTGGTTTCAATTTGTCTGGTTTCGTCTTGTTCACTTGAAAAAACAAAAATGACTTTTGCAGGTTTGGTCGTGGGAACCGCAGAGATGTCATGATGTAGTGGATGTAAGCTGGTCGAGGCTTGCAGATGTTGCGCTCCACGAGGGTCGCCTTTTGGGATGTGCATTTCAGCAAAGCTTTGTAGGGGTCTGGGTGGTTGACTTGTCGGTAAGTCTCCAGAAGACCACTAGTACACTGCTTGTTCTCTGTGTTTTTGTCTGATTGTTGATTTGTTTGTTTATTAATCCGGGAGGGCACGGCACAACTACGACCATCTTCCCCCAAACAAAAAAGCAACCTGATTATGAATGTATACAAGCTATCTTTCCGGTCTGATGCAGCCAAAATGAGGGTGCATTGTGTTGGGGGAAAGACGGTATAGCATACTTGTCCATACGTCCCAGTCTGTGCGGGACTAAACACAAATATGTGAGCATATATATATATATATATCTGTTTGTGACGATATATATATTCTATTTGACGATATATATATGACGATATATATATCGTCACAAACAGAACTGCCCGGTAAACTGTAGGCAGAGAGAGAGAAGAGGACAACAAACGAGGGGCTGTGACAAACTGTTTCGTCGGAGTTTCACCGACTCATGATGAGTCGGTGAAACTCCGACGAAACAGTTTGTCACAGCCCCTCGTTTGTTGTCCTCTTCTCTCTCTCTGCCTACAGTTTACCGGGCAGTTCTATTTGACGATATATATATATACCTCCTGATGAGTCGGTGAAACTCCGACGAAAC